GAACCGTCAAATCAAACATCATGCTGAAGTTTGTGACGAAGGCGATGGATATCAAGCTTCGAGGTGAAGCCAATTTCACGACTACTCTTGAAGATCCAATCGAACTCTTGAAACGTATTGAACGATTTATGAAGAAGAGTGCTGATGCTGAGTATGATTTCTTGGATTTCTGGGAAGCGAATCAAAAGTTCTTTGCTATGAAGCAAGGAACAACCGAAAACTTGATGCATTTCAAGGAACGATTATTGAGACAGGCTGAAGTCATGCAAGATCTATATGGCGTTGCCTGGTTCCGAAATTTTGCAGTCAAGACAAAAGCGTATGCTGCTATTGCTAGCACCGATACTACTGCTAAAGACAAGTTCAAGGATGATATCTTTGAAGCAGTTATTGCAACAGGATTTCTGTGCAACTGCGATCAAACGAGAACAGCTCCTCTGATGCTGGATCTTCAGACGAACTATTGCAGGGAAGTGGATTATTATCCAAAGACGGTCAGCAAAGCACAGTGCTTCCATCGAGACCTTTGGGTCTTTGCCTTGCTGCTGCAGATTGATGGTCTTATAAGACTTACCAAGCAAGTCATCAGTGTAAAAATTTGAAAGGTTCAATGGCGAGGGCAAGCCCTGTCTATTTGGCTTGCCACTATAAATCTGAACATAGCTCTTTAGTAAAGCTTCATTCAAACGATCCATGTGGTTTAATATGCCCTCCAATGATTTCTTGTAGGGCGTGCTGTAGGAAGTCACTGTTGCACGAAAGTTACAAATCATCTGCAACAGATACGTCTTCCCTGTCATTGGGTCCACCAGTACACGTTTAATCCATATTTACAGTAGGAGTCATTTTGCACTTAACACTGTGACATAATATGGGATTTTACATTTTGTTTGCAGACGGGAATTCATACGTAGCTAAAGTACCATGCTCTACGGATGGTATTTCTGCCAGTTTTTTGCCCGAGTATGCCCGGTCTAGCATCCTCGCGCGATGGCGCGAAATACATGGTTGACATCTAAAAGTTTTGGCGTAATCCAAAACTTCGATATTTGAAACCCACAAAAGATTTTTGTGATCCACTGCCTGAATCGACGATGGAAACTCCCATCTGACGTGTAGTAACAACATCTGTACTTGTAGTCTTCTTGCGACTTGTTTACGAAAAATATCGGACACTTTCTCTGGAAGATCGAGTTACATTCCCATCCACTGTAATCTTGTAGTTGAGTCAGTCTCAACAAAGCGAGGGAAGACATCATCTCGAATCTCCAGATTCATGATCTTTGATGATAATGAGAGAAATGCGTTTTGTCACTCCAATGTTTGATCGTCGAGTCGCATTTCCACTACCTACTCACTCGCACATACTGCATGATGTGATTGTTGTATCCGAATACCTGAAATACTGCGGGGTGTGATGAAATGCGGCATGGTGTGATTGTTGTGTTAATGACATCTTTATGATTGAAAGATGTTGGGTGTCCACTATGCAACTACAAATAATTTGAAAGACTATAAGCAAGCGATCTATAATAACTATTAGTGGGCATATTGTTGGGTGCTTCCACTATATTCCGACCTGCTGTAGTGATGGACACTTCATGCATAGATTCTTTGACCAAAGAACCATCACAGCAGAAGTGTACATCCACGGATTTATTGAACTCGACCCACACCCCCATCTTTCAAGAGTACATGCTAGGGCAGTCCTAACACAGCTGGTCTGGGCTAGGCGCCAAACTATCATTAGCGGGTTTTTATGGCTTGCTCAAGCTTTGGTCGTCCGACTTGTATTGGGAGACACAGTTTTAAACTCCTCGCTCCTGAGCCTAGCTAGTTGACTGGAGGAGTGGACTGCTTATGATCCGAGGATACGAAATGAAGATTTGAAGCAAGCATAACATGGAGATTGCAAACGGAAACGATGACAACGCACAACATTGATTGTACGCCAATAAGCTGCACGATGATGTCAAGGAATTGCCATTTTGTGGGTGAGAATGCTACTCGTAGCGCTTAGTACTTTAGCTACGTATGAATTCCCGTCTGCAAAGAAAATGTAAAATCCCAAATTATGTCACAGTGTTAAGTGCAAAATGACTCCAACTGTAAATATGGATTAAACGTGTACCATGTTCATGGCTCCAGTTTGAGAGACCGTAGGCATTGTGCAGTTGAATAAATCCTTATGAAAGCTGTTTTGAGAGAAAAATGGAAAAATTTCCATCAATGAAAGTGTTATAGCTTCAAAACCCATTTCTCTGTCAACAGGTGTATGAAGGTATTTTCGTAATATATCAGAAAATTCTGAAGAAAATTTCCAAGGCCAGGCAGACAAGCTTTCTCTTGCATCATATTAACCACATCCCCGATCAGACATGCTCAACCACCAATCATTTTCAAAATTTCATCACGATGAGGATGATCCTTGAGGAAATCATTTAGACCAGAAGGCAAAGGCTTTCCACTTGGTTGATTTAAAGGCGACGCCGCACTGAGATCAACTCTCCTTGCGTTACTTGATCTAGCACAGTCTGCTTTACCATCATTGATCAAAGCTTCCACAATCTCAGCGTATTGAATCCGTACCTTATCAAGAAGACCTGAGGCTTGAAGCAAGATTGACTTCTCTCAAACAACATGTAGAATTTTGAAGAAAGGATCAATATGTTCAGCTTTCCTGGAACCAATTATGAGTGACACGTCCTCTCTCTCTCTCGATGGAGCCTGTATGGTACACTTATCTTGAACTGCTTGTACAATTCTACAATGATCATAAATTCTTAAAAGATTTGCACAATAGATCTTGAAGTTAGATAAAGCAAGTAAAAATCGCATGTCCTCAGTTTCAATTGCAAGCGAAGAATCAGCCTTTGCTTCTACTTCTGCTTCTGATGCAAGCCTGATCCGATTCAAAAAACAAGAGACATCTTCTTTTCCTTTAAAATTGTCCAAGGAACAAGTAGAACCATTGTTGCATGTATTTGGACCACTTCTGGCCTCACCATTGTGGTCAAATCCAAGAGAAACATTGCGGTCAACTCTGCATGATTGATTTGCAATCTTGAGCATTTCACTGAAACTAACACTGTCGGGCAAATCATGAATGCCCTTGTTCCCATTGAGCGTCTTGCTGTAAGACTGCTCTACTGGCTAACCTGTCTCTATGCTTGACTTTCCCAATCCTTTTTTAGGCAATGTTCTCCTCGACTTTCGTTTTTGCTTTGGTTTATTCTTTTTTTTGTCGACCAGTGTCATCATCAGACGTGTCAGACTTGTTGCACAGTTCCATGAACCTTTTCTTCACTTGCACATGCTCTCCAGATTTGATGCGGAGATAGTGGCGGTGGAGGTTTCTTTGCAAAACTTTCCACCATTCATCTTGCCCTTACTGGATAGTACAACCTCCAGTCAAATCCGTTAGATTTTGTTCTTTGTTCTTTTAACTTCGTTTATTGGAACCACAAGGCCAAACAACACCTTGATGATGTGGTAAGCCAAAAAGCGATGCTCTATTTCCAGCCAAATCCGGTTGTGGAAGGACTTCAACATATGAACCGCAAACCGTGGAGCAGAAGTATAGCTCGTACCATCTTCAATGCCATCTTGATCCTCAAAAAATGTAAATTGTTTTTCATCTTTGTCTCTACGGCTCTCCCTCTTTCGACCCACTGCTGCCAACATTGTGCTGAAGAGTTCCCGTAAGTTGTATGCCAAATATAACTTTATCAATAACAGGAGCTACTTGTTAGAATAAAGCAAAATGTGCTCTATCGTGAGTGCTTTTAGCGCTCAGAACAAACTCTCTGCAATCTAAATTCGTAATCGACTGTACAACACTTTCACGACAATAGTTCTCCTGTGTCTAGGTA